AATGCGTACCCGCTACGCAAAATGCGTACAGGTTGGCAGGTCTGCAAACCTATCAAGAACTAAATGAGTACTCCGAACAGAGCAGACACTTACCCAGAGTCAGGTATGTGCAGCAGCACGAAGATAGCCATCTCCCATAATCCCGCACTCTCCAGCTGGGCAGCATAGCTGGCATGAAGCAAGCCCTGGCATGAGGTGGACAGGTGGTTGTAGTTAAGAGCTTGAAACACGTTCCACAGGTGCCAGCTCAGCCGGTAGTCCAGATGATTAGCAGTTACTGTGCTGGGATCAAGTAGCTGTTGTAAGCTGTAGTGCCTAAAGAGAGGAAAAGATCAATTCAGCCTGCATATATACACAGCAGTGGACACCATCTTTAATTAAAAAACAGGAAACAAAGAGAACACTATTACAAACCTGTCACTATAAAGTTTGAGCAGGTGGAAGCAGATGTCATAGAGCGGCTTTTTGGAATCCGTCTCATTCATCTCTTCATCCAAACCCAACAACTCGACTTCATCTATGTAAGGAGGTAAAGGAGGGCAAGCATACCTTTTCACTTCCTCTGAACCCTGAAATACAAATACAGTTACAGTATTTTAGAATATATATAATTACACAGTTCATCAAGAATCGGTGGCATCTCTCAACAAGGTGGTGCAGAAACATGGTGTATTTTGCTGTTGCTAGTTCCCATGGTGCGTAATTCTATTTAAATGCAATTCTTCAAAAACACCTTCTTATTGCATTGACATTAAACAAAAGTCACTGACATAAGGGAGTTTAACACTTATTTAAAAAAATAAAAAAAATTAGGGTCAACAAGTTTTTGTTGAAATTTTTTTTATATACTTTTATTCAGCAAGGATGCATCAAATTGATCAAGAGAGACAGTAAAGATGTTTGTTACAAAACATTTCTGTTTCAAATAAATGTTGTTCTTTTTAACAACTTTTCCAACATCAATTAAAATCAAATCAGCATATTAGAATGATTTCTGAATGACCATGGACACTGAAGCCTGGAATAATGGCTGCTGAAAATAGCAGCTTACATAACATTACATGAAATTACAATTTAAAATATATTAAGATAGAAAACAGTTTTTTATTGTCATATTTCACAGTATTACAATATTTTTGATCAAACAAATATAGCCTTGGTAAGCATTAGTTAATTCTTAAAAAAAAATTTTTTTAACTTGCCAATTCTAATTATGAAATGTTATAATTTTGTCAAAGAAACTAATATATAACCCAAAAAAAAACTAGTGTGATGTGAGGTACCTGAAATGCAGATTCGTATTTGGAGAGGGCATCAGCTACAGATGCAGTAGGAGGCAGCATGTACCAGAGATGAACAGCAACACACCGCTTCCAATCGAGCTCAGAGCACACATTTATACAGCTGTCTGATGACTGCCACACCTTTATTACCAAAAATAAAATTAATTTTTTTTGGTAAATTTGTCAATTTGGTAAATGATTAAATGATTTTGGTAAGCCAAAAACATCTAGATTTTATGGCATTTTATTTACTTACTGGTTTGCCTGCAAGCAAAGCAAAGATTCGCAGCCTTTCCTCCTCTATGAAGGAGTCCGTCTGCATGCTGTTCCAATCACTGAGCTGCAGAGCCAATAGATCTCTACAAAACTGAGAGCCCACAGCCTGTGACAGCAACAGAGCAAGACGATGGTCCCCTACACACACACACACAC